AGTTCAGAATCGATAATTACATTGAAAGTGACATTAATTTCGTCCCAAGGGTATCTATGCTTTATGTGGTAAGCTGTTTTCGGACGATGTAGAGATACACTAGATGCTTCAAATAGTGTACATGAGCTAGTGTGGCATGAGCTATGTGCATCTAAATTGAAGAGGCGAATATATAAATTTAATCCAGACACGACCCTGACATCACAGGATCACATGAAAAACACTCTGACCTAAGAGACATTAACCTCTATTACAAAATCTAACTATTTTCACATAAAAGAAACATCAACTATCTTCTTTGCTAATCACCTAGCAGTAGATGAGAAGTACAACCATAAAATAAAAACAAAATGGATTCGATTTCAATAATTGAATATTACGCGTTAATAAATCTGTTCATCATCAGTAGTAACATTTTCATAAAAGTACACGGAAAAATACAAAAATTTGCTTTAATAGTGGATACATCGATACACTTGCTAGATACGTTTGACGTATAGCGCGTCTCGCTCACACGTGAAATGAAAGATAGAAAATTTTGAATTACGTAAATATGTACATTGCTATAAATATATTCAGACTCTTAGCGATTAAGAAGTTACGAAAAATTCAAGATGAGATTAAGTTTTCAATTAAAGGTGATTGTTTTCACGCCAATCAAAAAGCATCGATATAATGTTGAAATAATCTTGAAGATAGCGTCAAACAAAAATCTATGTACAATTATCTTCTTGAAAACTTTCTCATATTCTTAATTTTATCAGAGATATTTAGGTGTTCATTTCTTTCGTGACTCACCCTATATAATATATTATATTTAATATATGTTTATATGCAGACTGTCCCACTTATAATGAACATCAAAATTAGTCAGAGATAATGGAGAGTGAAATTATTTTACTTATTAGCTGCTATCAAATCACTTTACTTTATTAAGGCTCCCACAAACCAACGCGAAATATTCGCAGCGGCGGCGAATATTTCGCGGCGACAGATTTTTTATAGATAAATTTTTGCCGAAATTTTTCGCATTGGTGTGAACAGTCTCATAAGACGCCATGCATTTTAAACTATTGCGAATCTATCGCCGCGAAATATTCGCTACCACTGCGAATATTTCGCGTTGGTTTGTGGGAGCCTTTAAGTGTTGAAAGTGCTGACGGCCGGCATTCATACATTTATGCACACAATAAGTGAACGATTGACTGGTATATCTTATTATGTTTCTGTGGTTCATAGTGCAACATGCATTCTGAATTCGTTATTTTACGTCACATGGCGTTGTAAAAATTTTATTAGAAATGATAGATTACAAAGATCCTCGCACAAAATAATCTAGTAGTGATAACTCGAGTGACCGAGCCGGCCAGGTAATATCTACACCAATTCCGATTTATCGATTAAGTAACCTGTTATTTATTGTGTCTAAAAAATTTCGCGCGATTTGTAAGCCGGTTGATACCTAACGGTTTTCTACGCTTCATTTCGATACTTGGAGGATTTATACAATTTTCCGCGTTATACAACGTAGATTATTGTTGATTAAACACTTCACTTAGTCGTTGTGAGTCTTCTGTGGCCGATCAGAACGTAAGTCACTTTGAAGCCAAATAAAATAGCGCCGGAAAAGTAACGCATTATACTATCGAGTATTTCTGAACGCGTATTGCGCTTCGTGTCTATTACGTACCGACTGTGTTAATCTTACGTAACCCTGACATGTTTTTGCTTGTTTGAGAAATACTCAGGAATTATTCACAAACTACTACCGAAGTCACCGTGTCCAAACACCTTCGTTGAATTATTTTATCGTAAAGGAAGTCATATCTTTCGTATCTTCATATTTGTATTATGCAAAACACGGGAATTCAATTTTTCCTAGTAAATCACTCATCATGAGTGTTTACATTGTTCTTTCTGGTGTCTCGTCACTGTACAGATTTCATGTGAGGATTTCTCACTGAGAAACGAAATATGTCATCACTATCTGCGAAAGCCCGAACCTGATTCTTCCGCACTAACCTGAACCATACTGTGTTATAAAATACTTCATGTCTTTATAAAATGTACAAATTTTTCTAGGTTTTATGATGAATCTTTTTCGCATGATACAACCTATTTTGTACACGTAGTAATGTAGAGAATATCATTATTAGATTGCGAATGATTATGCAAATATCAAATTTTACAACTTAATTCAGAATTATTCTTTTCAATAGAACAATTATTCTTTTTCAACATTGTTCGCACATAAAGTTTTGAAGGTCACCTTGATTTTTTTAAGTAGAACGCACATTTCTTTACGGAGCATAAAGAGTAAATAATTATTAAGGTTTACTGTAAAAGGTGTTACATTGCACTTTATTGAACCACTAACGACTCCAGAGATAATGCAAGAACTATCATTTTCAAAAATTGCCAGATGCACACTAGAAAATGTGTACATGTCAGTTTTTAAACTATTAAATGTCTGTATGAGCAATAATGGTCCACAGTTCAAACACCTTTTATAATAAAATATTCATTGTAAATATACCAACAAATATCAACTTTAGGCCTATTATGCCTTAATACTTATTTGCTTAGTGCAAACACGAACATTTTTAAAAATCATGAGTTTTTGCAACAACGCACGATTTTGGGAAGAAATGACGTATTATGTGAAAAATAAAAAATTTAGAAGTTCAATTTTTTGTCTTAAAAAACAGAGAAAAATTTCTTGTATATATCAACGTACAGGTTACACTTATTAAATGTTGTGATTTTGAATGGTCATAAATAGCCATCAAAGTTACAGACATATGAATATTGAAAACATCTCATCTGTCCAATTATTCTGCCAAATTGAAGTTTTACACTTTTACTATTAACTGATCAATTGAAACTTTGTTACAATAAATCTTTCAAAAAACCCTTTAATAACTTTATGCTCCTCGTGTGGTTTCTTGTGAAGTGATTTTCACCTTTTAGGAAGAATCTTTAGTTCTTTTATATAAGATTTAACGTATACTTACAAGAAATCAATGTTTAATATTACATAGGTAAATTCAAATCAATATGAAATTTGTATATATAATATGTAATATGGTGAAACAGTTTTTGCGTAAAAAAATGTTACTTATGTTAGAAAACGAAGTTCGTATTCACAATTCAGACGCCATCAGAAAATTTACATATTCACTGCGTACGTAAACTCAGCATTCCATTCAGATGCTTACGTGATTGGAAGATTCCGTCACACACTCGTTCATTTTTTGTAATTTTTTTTATGGATACATTAAGCAATTATATTACAATATGGCGAAAAATCATTAGAACATGTTCATATACGTTATCAAACCAGTTTCGAGTGTAAGCAATTTACAACGTCTACTTATGTTTTCATGGTCGAGTTCCAATAAACCGATAGATAAAATATATTTGGATGATACAGCAAAGATTCTAGTGATGATTTAATGACATTGCCTACTTTATGATAACGCGAGCCTGTGTATGTGTTGTGTAAAATTATAATACCGTCCACCAGGGCCGTTCCTGGGTTGTTGGCCGCCCGGGTGTAAAAACAGTATCGGCGCCCTTATTAATTTAATATTATTTAACTAAGAATTTGATATACAGTGGTTCCTTTATATCCATATATATATATACTTTTTAAACATTTATCATGCAAAAGGGATATATTTTAATTGATATTTTCATGATACCAAACAAAGATTCTTTTAACATGACGAAAAGGGGAGCCAGTAGTTTTCCACTTGCAGAGATAGTGGATTGTATAGTGCAACTATGAGTTGTGGATGGAATTGATTGTATCACAGTTTTTCTACTTTCTACCAGAAACCAGGGAAATGGTGATTTAAACCAACCCCTATTTTCAAATGGACTATCACGTATGTAATTTCAATTTGAGCAAAATCCCGGACATTGTTTACAAAACTATTTCGCTTGGCGTGGAATGACCCGTCCCCATCTGCAGCAATTACTACACTAAAAGATAGGCACTATAGAGTGGATTATGATTGTAAAATTGTTACTGTTTAATAAATGCAAATCCGGAAATTTTAACGGAACACTTAGCTTATTTTTTAGGTTGGGTAATTCCTGCTAGTAAAAATTAAAAAAAAATGTTATTAAAACACATTATATATTTAGTAAATATTTTTAAACATAAAACTATAATATAATATAAACATAAAAATATGAATAAATAAAGCACTTAATGACTTTGATGATGAAACCTTTCCAAATTGTCGCGGAACACCTATTCATGTTCAGTGGAACACAGTTTGGGAAACCCTGGTGTATAGTGTATAAAAATGTGAATCTGTACTTATAAGCATAGTGATATGCAATTATTTTATAGTAATTCCAATTCCGTGTGATTGAACATTGTTCGAACGACGTTGTGTTCAGACATAAATTTTGTCTAGTCATCTATTGTCGGCACTTTCGTGAATACACGATTAAGAATATAGAATACTTTTACATTATTGTCTGCCTGATTTTAAATCTGTGTATGGCACGTCGCTGTAAGAATATAGACACGACCTTACGTGTCGTTAAAATTGTATAAACCAAGTAGTCCACTACGAACTGTATCACAACTTTTCGAAAAATCACTATTATCCACATTACAAAACATAAAAGGTAACAGTATTGTACAATTTAGAGTATATAACACACTCATTAATAATCTTCATTGTGGGTGTTGCATAATAAATTTTGCTTCATTTTGTGCACATAAGAAACGTGAATCATAAAGCCTATAATTCATTAGTGAAAATCTATCGATTCAAATAGATCTTTCTTCGATTAAAAATTTTCTGGTTAAGACAAATCCTGATAGTTCAAATTCTGCAGTTCAAAACCAACACTTATTATGCAAGAACGTAATAATAAAGCATATTGTGTAGCTATCGTCTTATATTAAATATAACGCAAGATTTTGGTCAAGCGGCTTAATACCGAAAATAGCAATTGAATACTCGATTCTTTCATACCTGCTAACCAAGAATCGATTAACTGAAGATGTTGACACGTTGTGATACAATGGTGACCGCGAGTAGACTACTCTTAAGGTCCGCGGTGTAGCTGTCTAGATGTACTTGGATTCATGGCAACTAAGATAATGTCGATCACTGAGCTTGATCACCGAGCGAGATGGATACTGCGAATGAGTGAGAGGAGAAAACTCGAGTCGTTTGGTACAGTTCAGCGATTGCAATAAAGTAATCTGACCGGTGTGTGGAAAATCAAATTTTAACTATGTTTGTTTTTTCTTAACTCTCGAAAGGCGAATGGTCTGGGACTGACGAGGCAGATGAATGCAGGGTCAATTTGACCCATAGTAGAATTTCCATTGTACGTGGGTTTCAAGAAGGACTTAAGCGTAAAATTTTATGCATTTTTTCAAGTTTATATGTTACATATCCATATAATTATACAGAATGGAAACATACCTATTACAGATGGTCAGAATGATACTGCATTCGTTATACGAGAGTTAATGATAACATGTTTAATAGGTTGATAAGATTTTCGTGAGAAAACTGAGTCACAATTGTTTCAAAATCAATTGAAATCCATTTGATTATTTTTAATTATAGGTCAACGTATATTCATATTTGTAAGTCAGGTATTATAATTTTAGTAAATCCGCGATTTTGCAGTTATCCCGCGCTTTTTCATATTCAAATTTCGTGGTAAATTGAACTTCTAATTTATTTTGATGCAATTTTAATTAAGTTTACATATTACTATTTATTTATTTATGGAAAATATGAGATAGCGTAGTGATAGGCTTAATAAACAACACATATGTACCACTGAACTGCTTTTTATTGAAAACATCTAATGAAAATACAAAATTTACAATAGTATTTGAATAAATTTCACAACATTTGCCTTAAATACTACTTATATGTACGAGTTTACAATATATTTGTAACAATATGTGCATAAATTCAGTAAAACATGGCTGAAATATTATTCAGACTTATAACAATAAAAATAATTCCCTCTTCAGTAACTTGTAAACCTTCTGTACGATGTTCAAAGCTTCATATGTAATAGTTTCACACGTTTGTCGTCGAAATTGTCATTCATGGGGACATATGATAGATGTCGGACTCCTGTGGAGGGATTGCGGTCAGGACAAATCACGAGACGTGATTTACGATATATTTGTTTGTGAAGTAAATGATAGATACGCCAAATACATATGTCAAAATTTCAAGTTGATTGAATAAAAATAGGCAGAGTTATCGTACACGTCAATTAGAAAAATGCCGTTTCGAGAAAAACGCGTTCAAAGTTTAACTTGAAATTATTTATGTAGGTAATCCAAAAGCACTGTATCTTTATAAATTCTTCGAACATCGATTTGAAACTTTCACATAGCATTTTTGAAGAGCTAAACTTTAAGAAAATGCATTTCGAAGAAATCGATTTTTGTTAACTTTTACCCCCCTTTGTCCCCCCTTAAAACGGTACGAACTATCTTGGTTACCTGATATTTTTAATTCTAGACGATTAAAAATTCCAGATGTCGCGGCACTGAAATATTTTTTCAAACGTTCCCATAAAAAAATGTACTCTCTCTTACACGCCGCCGAACGTTTCCACGCGCAAAAATGCAAGTTATTACGCCCCGTTCTTGTTTCAATGGCTTTGGCGCCGCAAAAGTTTCCTTCGCCCCGCTTGCCGTGAGTGGTCCTGACATAGAAATTGCCGTGTCGTGATACGAGCGGAAAAACGAGGCGTACACGCGCGCAACAACTCGAGGACGACACGTTTGTAATTTCTGCGCGCCGGTGTAACCATTCATTACACGCCGCAATAGCTGGCAATAGCGTGCCGTATCGTGGAAAGAAAATTCAGGCACGCACACATTGACGTTCGAATAAAAACGAGGCTATCGTTAAGTCTCATCCGCGGGGTGAATCGGTGACGTGGGAAACGACCTCACCGGCAAGATTGTGAACAATGTTCGGTACATGCACGATGACAGACATTGAAAAGCTTCCAAGGGCTGCTCGGGTGACCAATAATAATCAGAATCATTAACGAAGTCAGGTAAAATTGGTATCGTTGACAATTTAGATAAGGGAGACGAAGGATGACTGACAAGTAGTCTTTTTTACAGATCCTGTACCTGAACGAGTCTGTAGACAGAGTAATGAGGCCGTAGTAATACGCGGACTGCTATACAGTAAATCCTCGATGAGAGTTCGAAGGCTCCTCGGCTCTGACAACGGGAATTTCCCAGGTGTAACTGACTTTTGAATGAGGTTTAGCACAGTGACAGAGCTTGGAATTCTGAAGCCAATGATATTTGTTTCAACTGCATGTGCCCATTAGTTTCGGAAATATTTAATGTTCAGTGTCGAGGGGCCATTCAACACTTATCGAGGATTTACTGTAGAGGGTGTCCTACGCAAATAAGCCAGGCTACATATATCTTTGAAATGATAGGAGGTAGAACAAAATTTTATTAAACACATTAAGTCGTTTCGTTGCGATACGTCATATCCTGACTGCAATATTGCCACAAGTCAAGGATGTATAACTTTACAGAAGAGCTTGTCAAAGTTTCAACACAACATTAAATCATCCAAGACAATTATCTATGTTGTCAAGGCCATCATTCTGGACAACTTTTTCCTATACATATAATAGTCGCTCTCTTACAGTTTTTGAGATGTTCACTAAAATATATTTACCACTATATATCTCTAATGCTACCCTATTTGTTAAGTTTTCCTCTTAAATTGAGGCTGAATATTTACAATATTTGTGTATCATGAATATATATGTATATGTTATGAAGTAACAGAGTGGGCGTTTTTTCAAACATACATGATTTTCCAGGCACCCAACATCCCACCTCACACTACCAGGAGTGTTAACCACGCACCCAACATCCTACCAAACACAAGTTTAATTATTCATTAATATCTAAAAAAAAAACAAGAAAAAAGTTTCTTCGTTGGACCCTAGAGTTTAGAGCACATTATGTGTGTATCTTGTGTTTGATGGGATATTCGATCCGTGCTTAAATAGCCCTCACGCCCAAGAGGGTCACCGGGGGGGGGGGGTTTAGAATCTGTATATATAAATAATCAATTTTAATTTCCTCGAAAACGAAATTTCATTCTACACTTACGACTTATTCTTGCAGATAGTATTGAGTCACTGCAAAAATTTTAATGGATTTTGCTCTAAAAGAATAGTTTAATGAAATGTATAATAATTCTTTCATAACATGTGTTTTTTCAATAGAAATTTCTATTCCAATAAACAAATTTTCGGAATATTATTATTCAGTAAATTTATATAATTAAATTATATTAATAAGTTTACAGTTTACTGCAGAGTGAGATTGACATAACAGCTTCTTCAAACAGATCACAAATACTTTTTCCGGATATTGTAACGTTTATTCCTTTGATTTTTACGTTTCGTACTAATAGATCAATTTCAATTTTATTTTAAATAATAGAAACACACTCAACCTCGTCAATTTCTATTCTAAGTAACAATTCACTATGTTACATTGACATCGACGCATAATATTAAGTTGGCAACTAAATTTGCGATGTTCACATTCTTTCCGAGAGAATATTTTATTAAGATTCAACAACAGTTACTTATAGAATAAATACGAAAAGTTGCCTCAGTCTGGCCGTGTTTAAGAAAAATGATGAAAAAATTCGTTTCAGCTCCTTCTGAAAGGGATTATCATGCAACAGGACAATGTTGGTCCACACATTTCACACGGAACACTGGGAAAAACTGAAGTATCGGCTTGGAACGCCTAATTCACCCACGGTATAATCCAGATGCTACTATACAAGCCATAACCACTTGTTTCGATCCGTACAACATTCACTAACTGAAAAAAGCTTTTTTAAAATGAACAATGTCACTACGCACATTTCATACATTATTTTGCTGTAAACTCACTCAAGTTCTACCGCAGAAGGATCGAAAAATTATTATAAATTTGTCAAAAAAATTATCGAATAGAACTGGACACTTATCAGCCGACTAGAAAGTATTTCTCTAATTTAACATAATACGACGTTCTTGCGTGCGTAGCCAGACAATTACGCGGTTTTTCCCTTGATCACGATCCGATCTCTGGGGCCATCACGGCAAACCCAATCCTCCAGGGGGGATGAAGATCGTCGGCAATCTCAATCTAGCGTGAAGTTACTTTGTACGGTCGGGAGTCACGTCAGGTCACGAAATTTGCTACCGTGCTGCTCACGCGAGCCGCGTGCACGTCCACCGTGTCCCGACCTCACGTAGTATTCATCGCTTGGAACTTCCCATCCCATCCTCCGTCTGTCTTTCATCGGCCAACCGGGTTCTTTGAATACGCCCCCAGGCTGGATCCATTCTCCGACAAAGTAGTTTACTAAATATACACCTCGCTACTTCCTTTCTCAACCTTGTCCTCTTCAGGCGCTTCTCCCCTTTCTTTTCTTTCGCTCGTTCACTACCTCCCGCCGCGCTTATTTACGTAGATTTTTTTTCCAACGCGTAATCGATGGACGGACACGCGAACGGATGTTAAACGCCCCGAGCTATACAACCCCTTCGGAGGAGGAGTCGGAGAAGTATACATTGTACCTGGAAATACGTACATAGCATGCGTCCAGATCCCTAACGTAACGCTCATGCGATGAACTAAGTGAGGTAATTATATGTACGTCGTTACAAAGTGATAATGATTTCTGTGATTGACGTTCGCTTCTGGACTCACAATCAGCACGACGATGGATCGACGCATAAATTTAGAATCGGTTTATATTTGCATTCGAGATATACTCGTTATTGGTCAAATTATCCATACGGCGACTGTGTCGACAACTCGGTGACGATTTTGGAAGTATTTGTCAAAAGTTTCTGGGAAAATGTTGGATATCATCGGCGCAGGGAAAGGAAGGAAATCGTGTGACGGAAAAGAGCTTACCATTTTAGACGTTACCGATAAAGCATGGATTCTGAGTATTATTAGCACAAATGAAGTGTTATATATTCCATTCATGTTGCGTGTATCTACATGATTTGACGGGAATAAAAATATCCGATGCTTTAGTTT